TACGACGACGTAGTACTAGACAATGAGCCACTGTACCATTTTATTCAATTCCAAGCAGTTGTTTTATTATTTGTCAGTATACATACGTAATTTATCAATATTCCAACTTTAATTCGTGAAATGTGGAAAAAATATTTAGATGTTTTCTTAGGTTTCATGTTTTCATTATAAAAAACAGACAAAAATCGGTGTTTCCTTGATCAATCAAGGTAACGAATCAAGGTTTTGATTAAATCAAAGCCTTATTTTAAGGTTTCACTTTGACTTAATGGCATTTCTTTGAATCAGCTACGAGAAGAATCAAGTGTATCTTTAATCGATGACTTATAATCACTTGAAATACGACCAATTCACAAGAGCTCTTTTCAGATCGTTTAGCACGTTCAATTATATCAGTGAATTGCAGTTATTCAATGGCACTGAATACATAATGTCATTAAAAGCCTCATGTATATATAGGTATGCTCAGTTTTCGAATTATTACAACCTAAATTTTTGACAGAACACTGAATCGTTAAGTCTAATTTTATTTCCATCCAAATGAACTATAAGTAATTCCTTTTTTTGTGGTATTGTTTCCTAATAGAAACGATCCTGATGTACCCCATCTGGTTGGAGCGAGATGGTGTCCTTCCACATTATGCCCTCACAGGTGTGGTATAGGTCGAACAAATATGTCCTAATCTGTGAATTAGAAGACAGGAACTTAATGAATGGCTAGCAAGTTCCCCAGAATTGATTCCGTTGGGTTATTTGAAAATTGAGTTATTTGAATAAATCTGAAGCATTGAGGGCGTAAAACAAAGGATTCTTCAAGGAATCCGCTGAGTCACTCCCGAAAATGTGGGAGTAAATACCTCGATTATTTTTCAACTTTTTCCACAAACATTTTTGTTTAACAATATCAGTCTAAGTTTCATGAATTCATGAAAATACAAATAATATCTGAAGGGACTGGTAATATGAGGAGTTCTTTCAATCACAAGTTATTCAGTGACGGTGTCAAACATTATTCATTTCCTGATCTAAAGTCTTGGTCTGATCAAATTCGACTTGTACCTACATTGTCTAGATGTTTAGAAGAGAAAGGAAACACACCTTTTTGAAATAAAACGTCTCAATACGGTTCTGGCCATTGAAGAAAATACTCTGGAAAAAAAAGACGAAATATTTGACGTCAAAATAAAAACTGCAACATTGATGTTTTGCTAGAGTCGTCTGTGTAATACAGAGCTTCTATGTTCTCTCTCTTTCTCTCTCTCTCTCTATGATAACGGCTTTTGCTTCCATTGAGGCGCATTAAGCCAGATATTTTTTTTTCATGTAATCTTTGAAACGCACGCTTTGATCAAGTAGGCTTTGGACGATGTAGCAATAAAACAGAATGCAAATCTTTACTGGTAGCTGTCAAATTTGTATTTAGGCAGTAAAGACGGTATTCAATTAGTGGTTTTGTTTAATTTTCAAACACATTCACAAAGAAGTATGAGAATGAAAAATGAGTTATGATAGTCTGGTTTATACAAACTGGGAAAAATGCAGAAACAGCAGGCAATTCGTATCACGAGAGGTATCCAGAGAGAAGACATTTTCGCGAAATTGCAAAACAACCTAATTGATGGTGGTCAATTTGAAAAGAAAAGGCCAAACTTACATGAATCAAATAGGGATAAGGAGTTGGAAGAAATAGTCGTCTCAGGAGTTGTTGAGAATAATCCCAAAACGTCAACACGAAATTTGAAAATATCAATAGGTCTACCAAGAACTAACGTGAGGAGAATTTTGAAAAAACACAAATTCAAGCCATACAGGACCAGAAGAGTTCATCAACTCAGACCAGGAGATTTAGAACGCCGCATGGTTTTTTGCCAGTGGTTCCTGAAAAGTTGTAACCAAGTGCGTGATCTATCGTCAAATTGTATTTGAACAGACGAAGCTTATGTGAGCAGTGCTGGCATTTTCAACCGCTACAATTGTTACACTTGGGCACAACAAAATCCTCATCCTATTGTGGAGCAGAGAAGTCATGGAAGATTTGGATTTAGTGTGTGGGCAGCTGTTTTCAGGGTTAGTATTATCGGCCCGTTCATTTATAATGACACTCTCACATCTCAGAGCCATTTAGAAATGTTAGGGCTCTGTTGGTGAATTGCCACTAATAGAGTTCAGAAAAATATATTTTCAACAAGACGGGGCTTCCCCTCACAACACTTCAACTGTCACCATTTTTTTTGGCTGCAAATTTTGGTAATAACTATATAGCCAACCAAGGACCCAACCGTTGGCCGGCCAGGTCACCGGACCTAACGCCTATGGAATTCTACTTCTGGGAATGGTTGAAAGATCTTAATTTTGAATTGCCGACCAATTCTAGATACGAATTGCAAGCGGCAGTGAAGCACAATTTTGCTTCTCTCACTCCTATTGAACTGTTAAAAAAATCTTTTGAAATCTGTTTTTCCGTTAACCAGCTGTCGCCCCCCTACGAACGACAGCTCTCAAAAGTCGAAAATAGTGCGAGCAAAGGACTAACGAGGTCTTACCTTTTAACGTGTGATTCCTAACACGGACAAAACACGTTCAGAAAAGGCGTCGCCTGTGTGTAGGAGAATCTGGTAGACATTTCGAACACCTTCTCTGAAGAAATATATTTCATTGTTTGTTCTTTATCATTATTATTATTATTGTTGTTAAAGTTTCATTCATTAGTAGTAAATATAGTATAAATTGTCATCCGTTTTATTGAAACTATGCGTTTTAATTACTGCTGTGAAAAGCTTTCTCAACATTTTATAGCTACTACTGAACAATTTCTTTCTATTTAATCGCCACGTCGTCCAAAGCTTACTTGATCAAAGTGTGCGTTAAACGCTGTGTATTTCAAAGATGACTCTATGAAAACGTAAAGTGTGCTGGATTCTTGGAAGGGTAATTTTAAGCTCTATTGAAATATGCAGGAATATAGAGGGTGTCTCATTAAAAAATAGTTTTCCTACAATAACTATTGATATCTTATTTGTAAAATTAGTTTTTCACACCACTGAATTCTACGTAAAAAAGTGCTTTGGAAATATTTTCATAGAAATAATAAAGTTTTGACACGAGATAAGTTACAGCAACTTTTCGAAAATGTACATTTTCGACATGCTGTAACTCAGAAACGATGATAGATATCGACATACGGCATTCACTATTAAGTTTGTCATGAAATTTGACCCTCGAACACAACCATCAATTTTCATCTATCTAGTTTGAAAATGGGATTTTTCCTTTAGAAATGTCCAATTTGGCCCACCCTGTACAATTTCGAATAAATTTCTGGAATTGTACAAAAGTTTTCCATGTTTTAGGTGTGGCAAAGTTGGATGAAGAAACAAAACGTGTGAACAGTACCTACATCCTACTTTAGACAAAATGTATCGCTGCAGAAATATTCTTTCTTACCTATATTATATACTGACATTATTTTCCAATTTGCTCATCCTAGCATTTCTAATATTTCGTTCATTCATCTTCTCTTGAATTTCAAACCTTTCAATATTTTTCAAACCATGAACAAACGTATATAGTTTGCATCATTGTTTTTTTATTATTGAAGTTTTGAAACTGTTTGAATTGACAGACTACTAGCATTATTACAAATGTTGAAATAAATGAATACTACTGAAACTTCAGTTTGATCTTCCTCTTGAAGGTGATCACTTGGTGATCAAAATACGTGTCGAGGTGTTGAAATAACGGTTTGGTGTTCAGAAAAAACTCCAGTAATATTCATTACTCCACCAAAGGTTCCAAACAGTGCATCACAAGTTGAAATGAATGTTGAAAAAAAGTTGAGTAACATTTTAAGCGAAAACCTCTTCTGGAAAGTTCTATATGTAATGTGTTTTCTGGCATAGACAAACATATGAGAGTTGTGAGGGTTGAATGAAATCTATAATTCAAGATCAATTACAAATTGGGTAATGTCTTCTAAGTAGGTTCTCAAAAACGCCACCATTTTATTCAAAACATTTCTGTATCCCGTTTTGAATTGCTATAATGATTTTCAGCAGAGGTTTGCCATATACCTTTCGAAACTTTTTGATCCCGTAGTTTACGTTTGATAAAGCTATTGTATAGCGAAACACGTTTCGCGGTTTTTGTAAAACCCTTTATAGTGGAAATCATACAATAAACTTTATTATTCACTATATGTTCATCACCATATGTTCACTATATGTAGTAAAATCAAAATTAGAAGAACATATTTCAACAATATATTGGTGAATTATTTTGATGACCAAGTCAAAAGAAACGAAACCAAAAGAAAATTTAAGGAAACTGGTTACCACCAGTCAACGACTGTTGTGATTCACTATAACTTTCTGCGACAGGCCCAAACCATCACAGCAGTCCTTTTGTAAGGAAATCGACGAAATATACCGAAAATTGCGTCAGCAGCAGCCGGCACTGGTCAACAGAAGAAATAAAATCCTGCTCCACAACAACGCTCGTCCCCACGTTTCACAAATCACCGTCCGAAAATTAAACGAATTGAGCGTTGAAGTTCTACCTCGCCCACCATACTTCCCAGACCTCTCGCCAACCGACTATCATCTCAATAACATATTTATCTCTGTATTTATATCCTGGACCCGGAAGTCACGCAGGTAGCTATAGCTGCTTACGTGATGATGTTAGATGATGCCTGGGAATGCTAGGTCTTCTAATTGAAACCACAAATGTGCGGTTAGCTCCTGTTGGTGACACCGTGCATATGTGAAGTTTTTCATTTTTGGTATCCAGTTTTTGTCCATCTTTGCAATTGGCTGCACCGCGCTGATGAGGCCAATAGCCAGAAACACGTGTCCGCGGTTTGCCTCCATTTTTTGAGTGTTCTTTCTGTCCACAAATTTTCCCTTTTGATTTATATCATACACCCTCAATAACATCTTTATCTCTGTATATTCATTCCATTATTTACTACGAATTAACTTTGATAATAATGTTTCAGGAAAGGAAAACTGTCATTTCTATAATACGAGAGAAACTACAATGTTTTCAAACAGATCCCAGACGGAAATAAGTATTACCAATGGAACATTCCAAATGGGTAGTTCACTTTCAACAACTCTATGCACACCCATCAGACCCACTTCCTTTACTCAAGGGATAAATGAATTAAGGAAAAGTGTACTGTTGAAAAGGAGCCAGAGGCGAAATAAAATTTATGGTAATTATTATCATCGAATTTCATCTCAGAATGTACTTATCATTTAGAAAGTAAAGTCCTTATGGTGAAGCGAAATATTTTTACATGAGCGGAATAATAAAATATTGACAGTCTTCAATGGCACATATTCTAATTGTTGTGCAATGAATAGTTCTTCAATTTTGACATTAATTTTTCAATTCATGCATGCATATGCATACAAGTTTTTTCTGAATATTTCTCCAAGTCATTTCTGCGGGGGATAGTAAGATTTCTGGTTGAATTTTTTTTGGTGATTATGAATAGTTATAATCTGAAAAAATTCAATCATTATAAGGAAGTCAGAATGCTAATAATGAGTTTACCTATGAAAGTTACTATATATAATAAGGAAAACAAAACCAAATTTGTAAGCAACTTTATTTCACAATACAATAAAATGAAAAACCTGCATAATAACCACACTGCCCAAAAACTCCAAAGATATTTCACTTTCATTTTAAATATTGAAATTTGACATTTCAAACTCACCATTTTTCAGGTTCTTATATGACAACATATTGCAAATTAGAGTTTTTATTTTAGTTTGAGTAGCAATTACATTTCCATAATAGAAGATTGGTTTTCCGCTAGTAGCTGTAATACTTGCATTTATTAATTTTTTAGAAATTTCACTAACAATCTTTGAATTACCTTTTAAATACTTATCTTTCATTATACTGTCTTCTCATTCAGTTCTTTCAGTACTAAAAAAGGCACAGATATGTACTTATTTTTTTCTGTTATAATCCCTGATTAATTAGTTTCTAGAATTATTTCACAAATATCATTACTGTTTTCAGATGCCCGAAACAATTTTGTAGGTGACATCTACACCTTGGACTACTTAGAGGTACGTTAAATAGCAAATTTGAAGTTCTTCAATTATGAAGTTTCACTGAATTTTCCATTTTTTAATTTGCTTACAAAAGGAATAGAAATCAGTACAAGGAGTTTAGACAACAAATTTAGATCTGAGTTTCTATAATGGATAATTTCAATTTTCAACTTAGAGGTTTGTTCTGCCTGTATTCATATATACATTTTTATTCAGTTAGCTCTTCATCAAAAGCGATAAAACCAGAAAAAATATATTCGAGCAATTATTCAAAACTCAACCATTCTTTGAAGTGAAAAGATGCAACATTCTCAACTGATATAAAATATTACATCAAATACAAGTGGTGAAATGGCACAGCGGTAGTGTGCCAGCAGGTCTTGAGTTCGAATCTGCCTATGACTACATATTTTTCTCTAACGTCGCTGATGCCAAAACAAAAACAAATGGAATAGAATGAGTTGAATCAGTAATTTCACATTGAAACTTCATTAGCTGCTGGGTGGGGTTAAGTGGAAGAATATTTTCTGTCGTGTTTACACAACACAAAATAAACTTCGCCCTTTATTTCCATATATGAACCCGGATTTCCAATATTATTTATTGTATTCTTTTGAATGTGGAAATAATAAAGACGATTATTATTATTATCTATATTTATAACTTGCTCAGAAGATGACAAAGTGTGTCGAAATAGCTGTTAGCATTAAATTGGGAAGTATTATTTTCATCCTACCCATTAAATTAAAATGAATTTACACATATTAAAGCCGAAACTGTAGAAAGTTTCATATGCAACTTTATATTGCCTTTGTGAAAATAGAGTATTATTATTATTATTGAAACCAAACGAGGGAGAAAGTGTGCTTACAGAAGACGTGAAATTTGCTCCCTATAGACAATTACATAACTTGAGAGTCTCACATCTGTAACCTAATTACAAAGGTTATACCATATGTTTCTGTTCTATTTTTAAATTTTCGACAGCTAAGAGAAGGATATTACTGGTAGTTGCTTATAGAATACGTTATGGTATCATTTTTGTAGATATGCTATATTAACACGGAATTTGTATGGCATGAAAAAGATCTTGAGCTAAAAACTAAAAATGTATTGACGTTGAATTATCTTTCATCAATAAGGAATACTGATTGTTGAAGGTTATTTCATTCAAGATTTTTGTGTTTTTTCACTCTTTATCTGAAATTAGAAGTGCTGTGAATTTAAAATAGAAAAATTTTGATTAGGGATGTTCAATTTTTCCTTCAGTTTCAGCTAATGACACTTTTCAGATGATCAAAAAGCAATTTTATTTTCGATATTTCACAAAGAATTTGTTTTAGAATACTTTATCTTAAATTGAAAATTCATTTCAGGATATATTCAAAGGAGTTCTGATAAATGAGGAAAAAATACTGTTGAAGAAAGGATTTCTCAACACATTCAATCCAGAAAATAACCATAGATTGAAAACAGTTAACTGGTTACTATCGATTCAGCAGGTAATTAATATATAGGGTCTTTCATTAAGCGCTTCCTATCTTTAAATTTGAATAAAACAAAGTGTTTGTCAGATTTCATCGAAAATTTTTATTCTTTGAAAGTCCTATTGATGCCATCATGTGGTAGATAATAACATCTTTTTGAGGTTTGATGTTCAACTCAGTACACCTCGAACTACACTGTTTAAGAACTCTTTCATTGGGAGAATTGCGTTTATGTGAAACAAACTTCCTGAGAACGTTTTTTCAAATTAATTTAATTCGATCATATCCAATATGAAATGCTACTTTCGCACCGTCACCACTCTTAGAGCGCCTTAAGGATTTTCCTGTAGTGTTTGTTTTTGTCCTTATAAAAAATTGTTCAAATGTCCGCCACAGCTTCTCTCGCCATGGCGCATCCGAAACGTTCAATTTGCCGTGACTCTGGCGCATAAATCAGACTAAAGTTGACCGATGGCATGGGTTAGATTAGGTCAAAAGGGAGTGGAGCTATTCGACCCTACACATAAGGGTTTATTGTGGCTCACACCAGCTTCTTAACGAAGCCTTAATTTTTATGGTGAGTACTTTTTCAGGTCAGATGGTAAGAATGCGGCTCTGCCAAACTCTGAAAACCTGATTCAGTCCGCAGTGGGGCAGGCACATGGTATGTGCTCTGCTGTTTCATCATTTTCAAAAAAGAGGCGACATAGCACTGTCTTCTGACAGTCCGAGTCTCTGCATATGATTGTTCGGACGACAGTGACCTGTGAGAAGGCCTATTAGACATCGTAGTTCATCCCTACTGTAGTCCAACAACTGTTTGGTTTCAAGCTTCGGAAGGTGAATGAACGCCTGGAAGATTTTGCCAGAACAGAACTCCATAAATCTTTTTGCCATTCAAGTGTTCAATGTTTGTTTGACAAAGCCTAATTCGATGCCAATGACGGGTTCCGGTCCGATGAAGCTGCTTGCAGCACCCTCCTTTGCAAGGGAGTCAGCAACCCCATTGCCTTCCAGGCCAGTATGACCAAGAAGGCAGTATGGAAACAATTTGTTAAGTCTTCCTATTGAGGAGAGTCGTTTTTGTCAATTTGCTACCAGATTAGACGTTGCTTGGCAAACTCCGCTTGACTTTCCGAGAATATTTTTATTGACTTGTGTGTGAGGTTGGATTCTACCAATCTCTCCGCACACAATTCAATAGCATATATTTCCGCTTGAAGTACAATCGCATAGGAGCCTACGTAGGTAGATATCTGTGTCCTGGTTCTGCGACTGAAAACACCTGCACCAGAACCTGAAGGTGTTTCTGATCCATCTGTGAACCAACAACTATCTGCTCCTAATTTTTCCTTCTCCAGGAGAATCCAGTCATCTCTACTCAGGAACAGTACTCTATAAGGCAGTTCGTAGTTGACAGTTGGAGGCATATTGTCAGGGGTCATTTCCAGAATGCTATGACTTCCAGTGTCTATCAGCCGTCTATTGTAATCTGCATTAAATTGATTTGTGCAATTGGCGATGTGCACAAGTCTATATGCAGTCCATCGAGCCTTTCTCTCCAGAAAAATGTGGAGAGGAGGTAGAAGATCTAGAAGGATCTCCATGGCCGCCTCTGTAAGCCAGAGAGCTTCGCTTGAGCCGTTTTTTTTTGTAAAGCCTTCGGCCACCAGGCAATTGCTCCATAAGTGATCATTGGGCTGAACATCATCACATGAATCCAATGAGCAACTGTAAACAACGTCCATCATACTTTGGAGGATATTACAAGCAACCCTTCCTGACGTGGAACTTGTCAAGTTGATAAGGTCATCTGCATAAGCTTGCAGATCTACTTCTCTTCTGCCGAGGGCATCAAGCAGACTATCCATCAGGAGCGACCACACAAGGGGAGATAATACCACACCTTGCAGGCTGCCCCTGGTGACCCTGAACGTAATGGCCTTGTCTTGAAGAGTTGTAGTTGCAGTTTTTTTTACTAGCATGGCATAGATCCAGCTAGTTATGGTCGATTATGTGCCTTTTCCAGCCAGGGATGATTCTATAGATTTAGATAGTGCATTGTCAAATGCTCCTTCAATATCGAGAAATACAGCAACCACAATTTCCTTGTTGTCAAGGGTTTGAGAAATTTTCTCTACAAGGTTGTTTGATGCTAAATATGTCGATTTGCCGGTTAGATATGCATACTGGTGGTTATTCAAGGGGGCTGCATATAAAGCCTCGTTCCTGATGTGTCCGTCCAGTATCCTCTCAAGTCCTTTCAACAGAAAGGGGTTATGTTGGTTTTGAGGACCGCTGTGGTTAGTAGCTTAATCGCATACACCTGCGACTTGAGAAAACCCCACAATGATCTCGGTGACCAGTTCAAATCACATCCACGTGACATGATCATGGCCTCAAATTGCTCGTGCAGAATATTCAACGTAGCATGAGCTGTGTGGCACGTAGCACCGTCCTGTCGAAACCACATGTCGTTGGTGGCCAAAAGAAGTTGGTAATCATCACCTATATGCTCGCCAGCCCAAAATCCACACAAAACAGTGTGCATTGGACACTCTTGGATCTCATGTGGATTGGTTTCGTCTCAAATTCAACGATTTTGTTTGTCCACATACCTATTCATCCAGAAATGGGCCTCATCGCTGAAAATGATTTTTCGATGAGAATTAGGGTCAGTTGCCAACTACTCCAGAGCCCATTCAGCGAAAACAGGTCGTTGTCTATGGTCCTTTACCTTCAATTTCTGGGTTAGTTGCATTTTGTACGGGTGCAGGCCCAAATAGCGACGCAAAATTTGCCAAGCTGTGGTCTGCGAAAGGCCCAGTTCTTGTGAGCGACGCGAAATCGACTGCCTCGGATTCTCCTGCACACTCTCACAGACAGCGGCGATATTTTCGGCATATCTTATGTTTCGTCGACGTGCGGGTGTTGGTCGATCGTTTACTAAAACAGTGGACTCAAATTTATCCTACACATTGCGAATAGTCCTCTCGGTAAGATGATTATAGCGACCGTAAAATGAGCGAAGCGCACAGTACGATGCCCGAACAGAACACCCATTTTGATAAAACAATGTTATCATTTGCACGTGTTGTTGAATCCTATATCCGTCCATGGTGAATTGGCCAAACAGGCTGAATAGATGACTACTAATTTGACAGATGTAGCTTCAACAAGATGGCCGTTATCAATTGTCAAAGTTCGGAAGTTCCTTTTGGAAGACCCTATATAAGTTTCACTCATAGGTCTTATTGGTCTTCATCTCCTGAAGACGTGAACTTGGTTGATGAAACATGTATCGAGAAGAGTGTTTCAGTTTTGGAATTTGGGAAAAGTGCTTGTTTTGGATGTTTGCTGAATGTTAACTTCTTTCTTTACAAAAGTTGTATAGAGTAGCGTTTATTTACCCATCATCAATCACAAGAAAGAATACAATAAAAATGATTGTCTCAAATTGAAAAATAAATACCAACATACCCACTATAGTTTTCACTTGTTAGTGACATTTTTGCTGATGAAACAAAAACACACATTAGAATATAGTATAAAAATAAATATAACAATAGAGCATTTAACACTTTTTATTGTAATTAAATCTCATTGTGAGATTTACACTAAACAGTTTACAAAACCACAAGTGTTTCATTATACAATAACTTCTTCAGGTGTATTCATACCAACGAAATTCTACTGTATGCATTTATAATCAGAATTATAATTGATTTTTCTCCCTACTTAATGACTGATAATTTCATCTGAATGTACATGTCAACTCATTATCAAATTAAACAAGGAAGAAAATTTAAGAAAAAACTTCATTTTATCGGACAATAATATAAAATTACCTGGATTGATATGTCAACAAATTTAACAGAGGCGAATAATTCAGTTTTATTTGGTAATTAAGTAAATGTTCCGAATTCTTGAATCTAATGATTTCTAAACATTCCAAAGGATTGAGTTTGGAACATTCATCTTCCAAATGTAATAAGTCATAATATTCTTTGGGAAAAGGTTCTTCCTGTTTTGTCCAATGTGTAAATATGGGCAACACTTATTTGCCGAAAGCAGGAAACAACACATACGCACTGAGACAACAACAGAAGCCAACCGCACATTTGTGGTTCCAGTTAGAAGACCTAGAATTCCCAGGCTACAACTAACATGTAACACTCGATAAAATCTCTATTTGTAATTATATCCTGGACCCGGATGTCACGCAGGTAGCTATAGCTGCCTACGTGGTCATGTTAGATGAAGCCTGGGAATTCTAGGTCTTCTAACTGGAACCACAAATGTACGGTTGGCTTCTGTTGTTGACTCCGTGCGTATGTGTTGTTTCCTGCTTTCGGCAAATAAGTGTTGCCCATATTTACACTTGGCTGCACCGCGCTGATGAGGCCAATAGCCAGAAACACGTGTCCGCGGTTTGCCCCCCTTTTTTGGAGTGTTGTGTCCACTCTAAGTGGGTAGAATTTCTTTTATATGAACACGCCTCAAGAAACTATTGTATAGTGAAATGCGTATGGCGGTTTTGTAAACTGTGTAGTGAGAATCTCAAAAGTGTTACTTGAATACGTTAGCATGGAATTGGCTTATAAGCCAATTCCATCATAGTTTTTGTAACATATGACGTTCACATATAGTAACACTATTTCACTATTGAGTACCTAATGCATTCCCAAATATTTTTCCAATACATATAGATAACTAGTTTATTTTTCAAAAAGTTATCGTAATCAACTCTCCCAGTCTGATAGGTGAATATATCCTGTTTCTTTTCAGGTTCATTTACAATTTACTGAGAGTGACTTTTATTTGGCCATTAATTTCATGGATCATATATTGGCCCGCGTCAAAATTTCTAGGAACATATATCAGTTGCTTGCTTTAACAAGCCTTTGGATAGCTACAAAGTTGACGGGAACATTAGATATAGATGTGAGTAACTTATGCAAAAAATAGTTTTTGAAAATTGGTCTAAATGAATGTTGAATGTTTCCAAGAATGAAGAAGCATTTATGGTCGCTGTATAAAGTTTATAACAAAGTCCCAATTAGAATAAGTTTTGATTTTTTTACTAATTGATAATTTCTAGGAGTGCAGTTGCCACATAAGGGTTTTTTTCATATAGCCGTCTTGTGTAATGATGGATCAAATGCCTCCCGGACGATATTCACGTAACCGAAAAAAAATCATCAAGATAATTTTGTTTTCTCTCGGTTACGAGAATGTGGATTGAAACTGAAGAAAGAAAAATGTTTTTCATTTGAAAACTATGGACTCCATACCTTTGAAAAGCGAATTTTAGCAATACATTTTTGAGAAAGTTTTTGGCTTTCTACTACTCCATCTTGATACAAAAAATGTAGGAATCTTCCAAAGAAAGGAAGGAAGTAATCAATTTGGAAATAAGTAACTCTATACATGGATGTGTAGATCATGCAAAGAAGCAGACACAAACTTGAAGAAAGCCCTCCTGAAACAGCTACTTTCCTATAAACATTGAAATACACAAAAGAAAAAATTCTTTTGAAACAAATACTTTTATATGAACAATGAATTATACAGAAGATACTTTTCTCTACTCAGTTTGTATTCCAAACATTTGTTATGGAATAAAATCAGATATCATTCACAGGAGTTCTACTGTAAATGAATGGTAACAAGTTGCACTCACATGGAACACTGTAATCCTCACTGGTAGACATCGATGTTTCGCCGTAAGACACTTGCCTTAGGGCTCTTCAGTACCAATCTGGATAACAATGTCACGGAATAATTTTAATCTACTTATGTCATCGATGATATCGTAATGACATTAATTCACCTATTTGATTAGGTGTCAATCAGTCACACTTATAGTAATAATAATGAGAGACCTATAGCACTTGCCTCACGTTTTTGAGGCAGATAGAGAGGGAAGCCGCCGGCAATAATTTTCGGACTGAATAAGTTTTTTCAAAGAAAAAAAGTTCCTTCTTTTTAAGGAACACAAACCACTGTTGACGACAATATTTGGTGATAAAAAGGGAATTTCAATGTCTGCAGCAAACTGCCTGCAAACATAGACATATTTTATCCAGTTTTGATTATGAGATAAGATATTAGAAATCTATTAATAATACCAGAAGAATTTGTGTCCAGACTCCCTATAAAGTGTGGAGAACAAGATGATATTCTTTGAAATGTTTCCTATTTGAAGTGTTTGGAAGAATCGGATTATAAAACAAATTAAAAGTGTATCAGACAGAATACAAAAGTTGATCCTATCCTAAGTAATATATCTTTTTATATGCAAAACGGTTGGCCAGGTCGTTGTCCTTCAAAGGGACTTATTTGGTTTTTTATTAGAAAAAATGAGTTTTTCATCCAGCAAAACTGTTTGATTTGGGGATATCGTTGGGTGTACCAAATAAATACAAGGATAGTATTTTGAAAGAACTCTATAGTTCACGCATGAAAATTATAAAAATGAAAGATTTTGCACGTTCTTATTTGTTATGGCCCTCTATAGACAATCAAGTTGAGCCAATTGCAAAATATGTGACACTTGTAAGATACATGGGAGTAATCCACCAACATTTGTTATAATTACTCGGTATAGGCCTAAGGAACCCTGGACTAGAATCCATGTCGATTTTTGTGGTCCAGTTTTTATTAAAAATTTCTTAGTTGTACAAGATGCCACGTCAAAGTGGATTGAATGCTTTGAAGTAAGATAATATTACGGCTATCGCTACAATAAAATTCTTTAGGAAACTGTTCACAAGATTTGGGTTACCCTTAACACTGTGTACGGACAATGCCACAACATTTTTTTCTGAAAGTTTTTAATTTTTTCTCCAAACCAGTGGCGTGGAACACATCACCGGTGCTCCTTATAATCCCGCCACTAATGGACAAGCGGAGAGTGCTGTCAAAATCAATTTTATAAGCGACACACACACCGGTAGGAATAATATCGATTTCAATTTAGTAATAAATCGATTCTTGTTTCATTACAGAAACACTCCGCAAACATCAACAGGGGAAACACTAGCAAACATGTTTCCAGGACGTGAATTGCGAAGTAAACTCCATTTATTTTTGCCATCCATGCCAAATACTATCCGCAGGAAACAAAACTTTCGGATAAGTTGTGTCAAGGGATCATAATGGACGTTTGTGGAAAAGGAACTTTTACAGTTGGAACATCTCGAAGAGTAATATAGAAAAGTCATTTAAATCAACTCAAAAGAGATTATACGCCTGAAAATACATCAGTGACGTCAAATGTCGATATCATTCCTCGATCAGACATACTTGTAAATACTGTAAATATCGATCGTAATGTTAGTATAAGTGAAAGTGGCGGTAACGGTGATGAAGATGAGAAATATTTCGAGCATAACTATCGCATGCTGAGAAGAAGAAGAAGTCGACATAAACCCCATGAACGTTTAAGTAATTGATGAAGCGTTTTTTCTTCTCGCTCATTTCTCTTTTTTGACATTAGAGGGGAAGGTGTTATATCCGTGTCTCTGTATCACTCCGAATCGAGAGTGTAAATATTGTAAAAACTAGGTTATCTTTTATATGCATGAACCTCTATTCATGATCCACGATGGTTTGCTTGACTAGCATTTATTTTCAGTAACGAATAAATCATGATGTTTATTATTTATATTTTTTTTTCTGGGGATCACGAGCCTAAATTTCCAGAAATATCTTTCAAGTGTTTTCAATTTAACTTAAGTTAGGTTAGGTCTAAAGTGAGTGGGTGTATTCGACCCTCTACCGCAACCCTCAAGGGTTTATTGTGGCTCACACCTATTCACACTCGATCAAATAAATCCAGATTCTTAAGGAAGCCGATTAGTTTGTATGGTAAGTGGTCTTTCAGGTCAGATGGTAAGTGTACTGATCTGCCGAACTCTAACAACCTGATTCGGTCCCCAGCGGGGCTGTCACAAAGTATATGCTCTGCTGTTTCATTATTTTTCAAACAGAGGTGACACACACTGTCTTCCGACAGTCCAAGTCTCCGCATATGATGATTCAAGTGACAGTGACCTGTAAGAAGGTCTGTTAGACATCGTAGTTCATCCCTACTGTAGTCCAACAACTGTGTGGTATCAAGCTTCGAAGGGTGGATAAACGCCTTGGACTCTAAGTAACACTTTTTTATGAGCTTCTTCAGGCGTGTCAATACAAACTATTGTATAGTTTGTATTGGCATACTTGAATTTGGCTGTCACTCAATTTCATGAGGTATGGAATTAGGTTTGAAAAAATATAAGACTTATATTTTTCATGATTCAGCTCATACCTCGAAAAATGATTTTGTAAGAAATATAAACAATGTTACGAACAAAATTAAAAGTAATTGAAGAACTATTATCATCAGTTTTTTCAATTAGAATTTTAGTGTTCACAATTGCAGAACATATTTTTACTCTTTTGGTCATTATATGTGACCCCCACTGGTCTGCTATTTTCAAATTCGATTGAATGAGTGTGAACAGCTCAAAGAGTGATCCAGAAAGTTCCGCTCTTCTGTAAAAAGGCGAGGCAGCCACAGCAGAGAGATTAGAACCGAGATGAGTTCAGAGAGCGATCTAAGCAGCAACATAAAATATGATGAGAATTCTAATGTAATTTCAAAGGTTCATTTGAAGTGAGTGGTTAAATTTGAATGATTGAGCATACCACTTAGATGTAATATGTTATGATGAGAAAGTTAGAATTATCGAAAACAAATTATCCACCCCTAAAAATTCCTTAAAAATGTAGTACTATGACCTACCTACCTAGCAATGTAATACTAGTAAAAATATCTCTTATAGGTTACCAACTCTTTATCATTATGAAGATCTATCTACTAACAATAACAATAATCTTTCATCAAATTTTGATTGAATATTCCTAGAGGAATGGCCGATCATATAATACCCATTTGAAAGAGTGAAAAAATTAACGAAGGTATAAAAGATATAATTAACAACTTTTTTCAGCTTTTTTTAAGTTATTTACAGGATTGGAAGGTATTCCTTTTTTCTTACACTTACTTCCTTCTCTTACCCTGAATATATGGTTTTTTCCGTGTTACTGTTGAAT